GCTTGTTTCATTAAAAATAACACTTTTAGGATGAGAAATAAAAATTTTTGAGGGTGACCAAATACTTTTGACTGGTAGTGTATATATATATTATTTTTTTTTTCAAACATGTTTGGTTGAATAATATCAGCAAGTTCTGTCCATCCAATCTTTTCAAGCCTTGGACACTCTCACCAGTAGCCATTAACATTTTATCAACAATTCCAAACATGGCAACAGTTACTAATGCTACTTTGAATTTTTCCACACTTTATATATATATATATATGTTATAGACAAGCGTATGGTTGCAAGAAAGAAATACAACAACAGCAGAAATAGATTTACGTGGTTTATTTCAACAGGAACGTGTGGGTTTGGGACAGCTACCTTGTGGTAAAGTTCATAAGCCGGCTTCGGATCTAGGTCAATCTCTCATAGTAGTTCACACATGTTGACGGTGGTTGATGCTCTCCTGCTGTCAGCTGCTGACCGTGACAGGTTTCTACTCTGGGCACCTGTTGACTGCCCTGTTGAACTTCCGTGTGACCCCTTTTATAGTGATCTTTTATGGCTTAACAGGCTCGAAAAACAAAGCGAGTATAATTAGGAGGGAAGCATTTTTATTGGATGAAAAATAGAACACTTTAAATATTTTATTTTTCGACTGGAACACGTGTGTCAGGAACATTTGTAAATGAAGGTAATGGTCATTTTGTGACAGGGTTTTGTCCCGTTCACATCTGGCTCTCGCTCTTGAGTATTTACCTGTAAATCAGCCGAGATATGTCTTATTTTATTTTATAACATATATATATATATATATATATATATATATATATATATATATATATGTGTGAAAAACGTGTGTATATAAATATAAATATATATATATATATTAAACATGTTTGGTTGAATATATATTTGTTAAAAATGAAAACAAATCATGGCATAGACTCATAGAATATCACCCTAGAACTCCAAAACTTTATGGTGTCCCTAAAACCCACAAAACTGGTATCCCTATGTGCCCTATCATTTCAGGAATAGGCAGTCCTCCTTGTAAAATAGCTAGAGCCATAGAAAAAAAATATTAACCCCTCTTCTTGGAACAATAAGTCCATCACATATAAAAAAGGGAAATAAATATGACTGACAAACTCATGGCCAGTCTAGATATAAAATCACTTTACACTAATATCCCAGTTGAAAAATGCTTAAATCTCTTAAAAAATAGATAAAATAAAAATTTGCTGTTTCATCACCAATCAATGCTATTTCACATTCAATAACAATTTTTACAAACATTTGGATTACCAATGGGATCACCTCTCAGTGGAGTGATGGCATGTATTTTCTTGGAATTTCTTGTGTTTGGTTCTTTCCAAAACATTTTACCTAAACAATCAACTTACTTCCAATATATGCTCTATTAATATATTCCCGTGATACTAACTTACTAGATCTTGTAGATAAACTAAACAAAGTCAAACACACAATAGAAATTGCATACGAAATAGAAAAAAACATACTTTACCTTTCTTAAACATCATGTTACACTGAGTGGATAATATCCTAAAACTTAGTGTCCAATGAAAATCAACCAATAAGAATGACCTAATAAACTTCTATAAAAACAAAATAAAACACAGAATGATCACTGGATTCTATTTCAGGGCACTCAAAATTTGCAAAACTCAATATTTACATGAAGAAGAGAAATATATTGAAAATACATTCAATACCCTTCAATACCCTAACTATTTCATATTCATAAGCCATGACAGTCTGTTTCATGCTTAAGATGTAATCTCCAGACCAAAGATTGTGTTTAAGCATGAAACAGACTATCGTCTCTGGGTGTTGACTTCAATGCCCACTTTTATGTTTACATGTGTGGTATCCTTGATATTGAACACTTTAACTTATAAATATAACATATCTTAAAACTATATTTTTATCATATATATATATATATATATATATATATATATATATATATATATATATAAAAGGCACAAACTCTAATATTCCATGATTATAATTTATTACATTGGAATCGTAATCACGATCCAATTCATCAGACCTACAAATTCAAAAAGAAATTGGTAAATATAACTCCGGGTATATTTTCCAATTTCTTTTGAATTTGTAAATCTGATGAATTGATCGATTACGATTCCAATGTAATAAATTATAACCATGGAATATTAGTGTTTGGAGCCTTTATATTATATTCTTACTCTGTCCCGGACATTGAGTTCTACCTGGATTCTATCCTCTTGGGTTTTTATGTATATGAATATATATATATATAGAGAGAGATAGATAGATAGATAGATAGATAGATAGATAGATAATGTTAGTGGTCAATATATATATATATATATATATATATATATATAAGAGATATAAAATGAGAGTGGATACATGATTTTTGTTCTGCAGGACAAAGAAAGAAGCCATCTTGTGTATCAGATGGATGTAGTTACACTTTAAATTATATAAATACTCATATACTTGTACACCTAAATAAACACTTTATCCTTTGCGCACACGCACATACATTTTAAATTAGAAAATAAATCCTATCTATTTCGTGTATACACAAAAACTGAAAAATTTTCAGCCTGACTAAAAAATGAGTTATAAAAAGAAAAAAAAAAGAAAAGAAAATTCTGATGTTTAGTTATTTAATTAGATTAGTTTTTTGAAAAAAAAATTTTTTTTCAGTATTTTTGTGCACACACACATTTTAAGTGTGTGCAAAATCTTTCGGCGCCCTACAATAGAAAATACTAGAAACAAATAGAAGTTGCTGGAATTTTCTGCACACGTATCAAGTGTCAGTAAGTAGTTTATTTTTTGACTTTTGACTTAAAGGCAATTGAATTTAAAGTGTAGTTAGTTAGCATGGATATGTGCTGCGGACTTTTGAACAAGGCTTTAACTTTTTTTAAAAAGGGAGAAATTAACTGAGTTCTAAAAAATCTTTCTCTATTTTTAATTTAAAGTACTACCAACAAATTACAAATTAAAATATTGCTAAGAATTTTGCTCTTTTATTTAAAGTCCTGAATTTATTTTATAAGAAAAGAAAAAGAAACGCTTCAAAGTACTAAGTACATTTTTTCACACTAAAAAAACTAACAAGGAAAATGGTTCGAAAAGAATTGAGATAAAGATTTTTGAACTTTGTACCATGTGAAGACCCGCTATTTGAAAATATCACTTTCAGCGCGTTTGCTCCATCAGATTGGCCTCGTTTGAAACTAGTTGTTGAATTCAGCTCCCAAATCAACAGCCTTTCCACTTCATCTATCTCTCTCACCTTGCGCAACCTCTAATTTTACTCCATGTTAAACGCACGAGCGCGCGCGGACACACAGACATACATACATACATACACACACGCACGCACCTTTAGAGTTCTTTTTCTTTTCTTTTTTTTTTAATTACATCTGCTTCCGGATTGTGTAGCTCCAGATTTGCCTTTATTATTAATCCACAATTAAGAGTTTTTTTACGAAATCTATTCCTACTGAAGATTTTTCAGACATCGAGTTCAATAATAAAATCCTGACCTCCGTGCACGTGTGATGATAGAAAAGAGCGAAGTTGGATATTGAATCAATGATTGAAAGACCAACAATTTTTTTCTTTAATAACGTGTGTTGAGATCGCTTGAAAATTATACTGTAGCATATTTTGGGGGGAGAAAAATAGTACTTTTGCAGACAATATTATTCACACGCATAAAAACTACATTGTTTAATAAAAACTTTTGTACATTTTTGGTAATTTAAAAAAAAGTATATACCGGTTGGGTTACTCATAATGCTAAAATTAAATTACTTGAATAATTTCTTTATTTCGATATTATTTTCTATGTCTTTTAGAAAAGTATTGAGATCTGCTTATATTTTTAATTTTTTAAAAATCATAAAAAAGTAATCATTTTTTATTCGTCTAAAATAAAATAAAAATGAAATTAATAATGTTCGACATTTTTACTAATAGAAAATAAATAAAAACTTTTTATTGTAGTAAAAACAACTTCAACGATTTTAAATAAAATAATGAAAACTGTTTAAAAAGCAATCTAATTTCGAAAGATAAATTGATTTCTGTACTCTACTCAAGGCCATGTGGCGATTTTAGTAGCAGTGGTAGTGATGATGGGGTTTTCCACCAAATTGGAATTTAAAATTGTTCATAGCTTTTTCAGTAAATTTATGAGCAAACCATTTCTGTTATATATCAGTTTTGGAAATTTATCAAAGTATAATAAAAGTAAACTCGATTTAAAATAATTGCTCGAATTTATTTTTGTAGTTTTGAATAAATCTGGCCAAAAATGTATTTTTTCATAGTTCTTTTTATATTACATTACTAGCCCCGTTCTTTGTTAGTGTTCAATTTACAGAAACCGTTTAATTTTTACCAAGCATCTTTTAAATTTGTGAACGGATTTTAATGAGTAAAAACAAGATTTTAATTTTTAAACATTAGTATACACTTACATATATATATATATATATATATATATATATATATATATATAATATAAATATTATAAGTTATGAAATCAAAACCTATTTTTGTTTTCATTAAAGAAAAAAAAAAGAAATCTATTGTCTCCCCCTCTTCTTTGTTCAGTGCACGAATGACGAATTCTGATTGGTCGTCTTTCAACCAATGAAAACACAGAAACACCATGTGGTCTATTGGCTATTTAAATCGATGCAGCGCCAGTCTAATTCTGTCCGTTTTTAAGCTGCCACCGGGTCGTTTATCTTCTTTCTTTCTCTCTGTCTGTGGTAGTAGTTAAGCATTTATCTATCTACTGCATCTAACCCTTCCAGTACATCGGAGGGTCTCTTCCGTAAAGAGGTTAATTTTTTTTCCCGCGCTACAAGTACTCGTGCGCGTATAAGTTGTAGCCTTCCTTTCAGACATACCACAAAGGATTAGCAGATACCTTTAAGAGGTGAACTCCAAAAACGTCTTGTATCCAAAACATGCCAAAGAGAATGGAAAACGGAACATCAAACCACAATGACGACCCCAACGCTGAAAAATTCCGTAAATTGTTCATCGGTGGATTGAACTATGATACCACGGAAGAAGGCCTTCGCACCTACTTCGAACAGTGGGGCGAAGTTGTGGATTGTGTAGTGATGAAAAATCCGACTACAAACAGATCTCGTGGATTCGGATTTATCACCTACCAAAGCGCTGAACAACTGGACGATGCCCAGACTAACCGACCACATACTATCGACAGCAAGAAGTTGGACACTAAGAGGGCTATGCCCCGAGACGGCAGCGAAGAAACCCAGGCTTCAGTGAAAAAAATGTTTGTCGGTGGATTAGAAGAAACTACCAGTGAGGATGAAATTCGTGATATTTTCTCAAAGTTCGGTACTGTAGAGAAAATTGATATGATCAAAGATAAGAACACAGGCAAGCAAAAACGATTTTGCTTTGTCACTTTCGACGACTTCGATGCCGTTGATAAGTGCGTCATCCGGAAACGCTTTCCTCTTGGTTCCAAAAGCATTGAGGTGAAGAAAGCAGTCTCGAAGAACGAGGCTATGGGTAGTTCCATGGGAGGCCGTGGTGGCCGAGGAGGTGGACGTGGAGGCCGCGGTGGCTTCGGTTCCAACTTCAATGGATATGGAAGTGGCTGGAACCAAAGTGGCCCTGGTTATGGAGGAGGCTACGGCGGCCCCAATAGCGGTGGCGGCTGGTATCAAGGAGGAGATGGCCGCTATGGTGGGGACTACAACAATGACAATTATGGAGGAGGATTTGGTTCTAACTACGCAAATGGACCTGGTGGCGGACCCCAGCGCCAAGGCTTTTCCCAGAGGGGCTCTGGCCCTTACGGAGGTGGCTACGGTAGTGGAATGAGCAGTAGTAGCTACAGGCGTTAATTCCTAATCATCCTTAGGAATATAAAGTGCTAAGATCATCTGAAATCAAATTCCACTCAAAAAAAAAAAAGACTATCTGCTAGATCCTTTTTCTTTAAAAATCCCAACACAACCAACAAAACGGGTCTGGATAAACTTAGCCTAAACTGTGGCTTGGCTAAATGTGTAGTAAACTTTTTAAAATGAAGTCTATAAATCCGGGCAGTCTTCACAAGAAAAAAAAGCAGGGATATTTTTAAAACTGGGGCTCTGTCCCTTTATATCTTGGCAGGTGAAAAATGTGCTAATTACAGACTCACAAAGAAACCTGAAAATCATCTTTGCTGCCTAACTTGATTCTTTCATCTCCACTCAATTTTTCTATTTTCTCCCTCTTCTATAAACTCCATTTTTAATTCCCGCAACTAAACACTAAACAAGAAAATCACTTCATTCTCCATTACTTTCTGTCTTCAGTTTTTGTATCTTATTCACCCCCACCTGAGCGATTAACATGTTCTGTAAACTTCAGTTCCACTACTTTTCCTATAAGTGCCCCTTCATAAAACAAACTGGGACTGTCCATATTTTTTGTACATATCTTAATTTAAGAATTTTTTTATTTAGATATTTTAATATTTTGTAAGGGACTTTTCTTTTTTTTCCTATTTAAGACACAGAATTTGGGTTTATATTGCCTTTCCCTTCCTCTCCCTGATCTTAAAAACTCAGCACGAATCAAAAGTAATTTCTTTTCAAAGACTCTTTTCTTGTGGTGTGAGAATATCGGGTAACCTTTCCCGGCTCTGGCCCCAGTGTAATAATTTGCACACCCACACTTCATTAATTTGTCATTTTTCTGGACATTTTGTCTTTCTCATTTCATAAAATTCCTCATTCTTAAAAAAAAAAAAAAAATACCATCATGGAGGCCCTCTGCCTTTTGATATATGTAAGGGAAAAACTTTAATATTATAACACATTAAAGTCAACCGTAAATTATTTCGTCTTATGTTACTTCATTTTACTATTTAAAATTTAAATTTTTCGTTTTTTTTTTTTGTCTTAAATCTTAGGTAAATTATGAGAACCACGTGTAATAAGTAGTAGTAGTCTATTAGATTATTATAGTTAATACACGTGGTTCTTCATATTACCTACTGTGTCCATTCTGGACATTAAAAATCTTTCTTAGACTACAGGAGCAAGTAATTTATCATCAGAACTCGGTCAAGAATTTTATCAGAAACATCTCCATCTTTAGATGTAGCCACTTCACGAAAAGGTAAGTTACGGATTCGTTCTGGTCGATACAGCGACTAGTAATACTTTAATTATTTGTATATATTTTTTAATTCTTTATTTTGACATTGATATAAGACATCAGAAGTGAAGAAAAATATTTTATACATTTGTCTACGTCCCGTCCCAATTTTGTATCCCACGTGCTCTTTATCTAATGGCGCCATGTTGGAAGTCTCTTCCTAATTTTATCATTTTTCTGTCCTCGGGGAGGGGGGAAACTAAAGTCTCTTGACTTTCCTTTTCCTAGCAAATTCAACCTTGACTTCATCAAATCCGTTCTTATCACTATTCTTTGTTCGGTTGAATATAACAGGAATTCATTTTTTTTTTTTTTTTTTCTCCCAGCTGCCTCCTTTGTGTGCAAAGACTCTTTGTTCTAATTTCTCTTTCTCTTCTTCCCATGTGCTCTAAACAAGCCATGATAAGCTACAACTCCATTTTTACTTTTCCTTCTACAGTAAATAACTTCTCCCTTCCCCAAGTGTTCAGTCGTTGTAGGAATCTGTCGGGACTCTCTCCCTCACCTCATTGTCCTCTTTCTTTTTTCCTTTTCGGGGTGGGGGATTACTACTACCGACAACGATGACTAATCCATTTTCCACTGCCGGTTCTCTTCAAAATTCACTTCAAGCCTATTGGCTGACTTCTTTCTTTGTATGGCGAAAATGTTGTCATTCTGTTCCATCCATTCTCGATGCTTTCTAAATTTCATTTTTATTTTCCCCTAACTTATTCTCTTTAGCGATTATTTAAATAGTATTTATTTCAATATCACTTTTTAAACTAGTTTAAAAACCGCTAAAAAATGTATCTTGCAATTTAATACAAATTTTATGCCGCTTCAGGTGACTTTATCACGTCTGACTTGTATCGTGAGAATCTTTTTAATTCTAAAGGTACGCGAAAAAACCGGTAATGCAGTTTTACCATAACTAACCTCCGTGTTCGTCTTTCTAGGTCAACTTTCTTTTTTATTTTTATCTTTTATTTATTTCAATGTTGCTTCTGACGAAAGAAAAACAATTTTCAAAAATGTCTTCAGAAACCAAAGTAAGCATTTAAAAATCTTCCTCTTTTGTTTCTTCCTCTCTACGACTGGAAAGCAACGCTTGACATGGTGCCCGGCTTTAAACCGCTTCCTGCTTTCTCTAGGGAATATTTATTTTCAACAAAAATATTTATTAGATGAACTGGTGCTAAATTACTTGTATAACGTAACTTTGTACCTAATAGCCAATATAAGTTCCCTTTTTTTCTTCCCCCCCCCCAATTTTCAAGTCGTACTCTTTGCTGCCCATTCTTTACGCCTCTCTAGGATAATTGCTTATTTTCAAAACCATGCTCACTACTTTTTACATTTAAATTGTAATCAACTTAGATATTTTCCCCATAATGTACAAGGAAATCATCGTCCAAACAAAGCGGCGCTCTTTTTTTTTTTTTTTTTTTTTTTTTAATAAAAAGTGGGCTCATGACTTTCTATGGTCAAATCTTTGAGAATCAGTATTAACTTCTATAATAGCCGGCTTTGTCATATCGCTTCTAGGTAAACGCCTTGCAATTGTTTCATACTTACTGAAATATTTGAATTTTATTACGGGAATAATTATCTTTTTTTTTTTTTTTTTTTTTTTTTTTTTTTTTTTTTTTTTAAAGATATCGATAATTGACTTTGCAAGTTTTTAAACAGATTTTTTTTTCTTTTTATCCGTCCATTTAAAAATTAACAATTACTGCAGATATCATGTGATGCTGAAGCTGAGCTGTGATTGGTCAAATCCATTAAATGGAATTAATGTGCCCGCTTCCATAATTCGTCTTTATCAACACGGCATGAATAATTAACTTTCGAATTACGGAGGTGGAATACTTCGATCATTCATTAAGAATTGAACTTTTTAATAAAAATAAAATTTTCTTCACGCTCTTGATTTTATTTTTTAAATTTTTTTTGCCTTCTCGTATCCCAACTTCTTTTCGATATGGTATCTGAGTGAAAGCTTTGTCAGCCTCACCAATTTATTACCCTTTATAATTGCATCATGTTCCTAAGTATTGGGTAAATACCTTTTTTTTTTTTTTTTTTTTTTTTTTTCCTTCTCACGACCCAGCTTTAACTTTTATTTCGTAATGTTTTTATAGCTATCGAGAATATTCCTTAATTTCATCAATCTAGTCGCTTACATCTTTTATTCATATATTCTGGGGGGGGGACAAAGGGAGATGAGTCTGGCAGAACTAATGTTCAGGTTGTGATAGCTCTTTTTTTAACTATACACTCAGCCAAGAATGTTAAAGGATTTTCAAACTAATAGTGAAGCGGGACAGACTTACTGCTTGTACTTTACAATTCAGCAAAGTAGAACTGTTTCTCTAATGAATCCGTTATTTTAAAATAGCTTATTCTACCCTACTTAATTGATATTGGTAATAAATGTATATCTTTAATGAATGGCTATACAAGCTATTTTCGTTCTCCAGGAAGTTGGAAAGGAATCAATGTTGGTGACTCATTGTAAGAACGTCCACACAGTGACAGTAGGAGATCCTTGGATTCTATGCATCTGAGTCATCTTTGGGTATGGAGGGTAATTATTTACCCCTTTCCTGGAGGATGCTGTCCTATAGTGGACCTCTATTTTCAGTGTAGATGAGGGAGAACTTTTAGTAAGGATATTGTGGCACAAGTAATTATCTATAAATTTTAGTGATTTTTGGTAGTTGCGTTGGTGAAAGAATTATGAAAATTAAGCATTTCATGATGCTTATTTAGTGAGTGGGGTATGATCAACAAGCAAGTTTCTAGTGGGGAGCAGGGTTGTAATCTGAAATAATACTCATTAAGCACAATTCTAATCTAAAATGGAATTACATAAGCATTGGGGGACCTGATTCTTAAATGAGTTTGCTGACTATTTTTCTTACTGACCATATGGGTTCTTTCAAGATAGTAAATTTGGTTTGAGACGATTGTCTTTATTCACTATTCTATTCCGTATAGTTTTTTTTACTATAACTTCACTACTTTCCTATATTCTAATTTCATTTATTCAGTCCAAAATGCAAAATTTCTTTAATTTATAACCTCAATATTCATCTTTTGTAAGTATTGTGGTTTGATGTGATGTTTCAGATCCAACCACAATGCTTTTGAGATTTCTTGATAAATTAAGTTTTGTATCTAAGGGTGAGCAAGTGTAATTAAAATTTAGGAAAGTTAGTTGCTATTTATTTCTATATTCATCTTTTAAGTAATTTATATATACTTCAGACTTAATGAGTATGGATGAATTTACTATGTAAAGTGACTAAGGAATTGGCAAGAAAAATAATTTTTATCAAGATAAACTTTTTTTTTCATGTACTTAACTGTTGGCTAAAAGAGGTTTTGTCACTTAAAATTTTTATAGAAAAACTTTTTCAATCTGTTGCCAACTTAATCCCATCTCCACTTAAAAAGAAATGCTCTTAAACATTTTCTTTTCTTGCAATCTCTTCTCATTAGAGAGGCAACTTTGTAAAATTACAAAATTGTGGCATAAGGCCGAAGGGGGGGGAGCGGAGTCTGGTCACTTGCTATCTTAATCCTAGCTAAATCCACTTGCAACCCATTCATTCATTACAATTTACTCATTCACCAAAAGAATTCATCACCACTCAATTCTGCATACACCAAAATACTGCATATTCACAGGGACCTACAAAAAAGCCCCATGAGATAAAAATCCGTCCGTCTTTTCTCCTTTTATTTTTTCCCTTTCTCTCTCAATGTACTTAAATGTTGGCTTTTAAGTTTTCGCATTAAATTTAAAAACATTAACTTTATAGAAAAACTTTTTAATTGGTTGCCAACTTAATTCTCTCCACTTATATATATATATATATATATATATATTAAACATTTTTCCTGCAATCTATCCTCATTGGATAGCACCTTCCAATCGGTCTTTAGCTGTTCTTTCACTTGCCTGCTTTTTGTTTCTTTTTAACAAAATAACCTATTGATATGTGGAAATAACATCAGTCAGTAGCATAACTAAAATGATGCCATTTAGAAGAAAAAGTAATATTTTGCAGTAAGCTGGAGATATATATATATATATATATATATATATATATATATATATATATATATATATATATATATATACACACACTTGTTCAAAACCCTTAAATATTGTATATTTCAGGAAGGGATTAAATTTTCACCCAAAACGAACTAAAGTGATTTAAGTATCATTTTTCGATAGCAAAATACATAAAAGGAGTGATGAATGCAAACTAGGTACTGAAAAGATCTCATTTAAACTAAAATTCATTACCACTTTTTTTTTTTTTTTACACCCTGGTATTTGGTCAGGGACATATATATCAGCTTGGAAAGAAAGTTAAAATCAATATTTTCTTTCTTCCAAAAGTGATTTTTTAATTTAGGTAAATTATATTTGCTGAATAAAAAAAAAAAAAAAAACTTTTACACATTACCTCCTATCAAATTGTTTATCTACTTTCTAAGGCAAGTTCTTATCTCAATAGATATTTTAGCATTTAGATTAGTGTCACCAGATTCCTTTGGAAATGGGGTGAATAGTGCTAAATAAGAGCAAGAATGTGATATCACACCAGGCACAGTCAGCATAATGCTATTTATCTATCCCTGTAATATTAAATAATGGGTTCAGTTCAAAATGCCCGACAGGTTACCAGGGTTGAAATGTTCTGATAACAATAGCAAATATGAAGACAATAGTCCAGAGTTTAAATAACTCATCTCACAAATCTGATTTTAGCAATAAAAAGTGAATATAATGTATTTGTAGCCAAGTGGTTATAACAATAGCTTTGGCTGAAACCTAAGTTTGGATTTCATTGTACTATTTGTTGTGGTGAATATTGAACTGGACAGATACTCCCAGCATGTGGTACTCTTGCAGAAATGCCTGCAGATCTTGCCGTACGTTCACCCAAGTCTTGAGTGGATTTGGATGGACAAAGATGTTGACAATTGTGCTAGCGCTAAGTCACAAGTCATTGTGACCAAAGAGTTAATGCACTATTTTTAAAGTAGTAGTCATACTCTTCTAGAAACTAAAGCTTATAGCCATGTGTTGAAACGCTCATTCCCATACAATTACCAAAGTTAAGTAGCATTGAGCCTGGTCAGTACTGGAATGGGTAACCACTTGAGAATACTAAGTGGTGTAACAGCTCAGGTTGGAAAGTTGAATTCCAATTCTTGTCATGTTATATATAACTGCCGTTAAAAAGGCGAATCTACTTCTTCTCCAGGGATGAGGTTAATAGTAAGACTTTTATAAGTAAATCTTTTTCATTGTAAAAGGACAATATGAATAAAGACAAAAGGTAAATTTATCTTAGCTGACATTTCATCCTCAACAGCACAAACAATTAGACCTTAGCAAAGGAGTGTAATACAGAGAAAGTACTTGACAATACTGGGTTTGAAGTATTCTGTACCAGAGCAAAAATATGTCTATAAAATGCACAATTTGCCAAAAGAGTTATAAAATAACACTGAAAAAGTGCTCTATGCCAAAATGGAAGAGCATTACTTTGGGAGTGTAATGCACTCACCAGCTGCTTTTATTTATATGAAGGTTATACTGAAAAGTTCTCAGCTTCATCAAAATGTTCTTGAAAAACTGGCTTGATTGTGAAGCTCTCTATAACTGAGCAGTTAAAGCATACTGGATTAGATGGTGGTTTCTCCTGTAGAGGGGGGCAGATTTGGATCCCACTGGAGGTAACATTTCTCGAGTACAGGCCGGTAGACAGAAATAGTTTAAAAGCAAGATTAACTGCTCAAATGCAGTTATACACTAAAAATAACATTTGAAGTTGTGCGTGTGTGTGTGTATATATATAAATAAAATGTGAAGACATGTCTCATTAAATAATTTACACAAGTTTTGTCTACTTATTTTTAATAGGATCCTCTCATAATTATGGACAAGTTTCTTAGCATCTTTATTAAAAGGAGAAAAAATTACCATGCTGATGCATTTGTCTTAGAAAAAACAAGAATCTAATAACGACATTGTGCTAATGTCTAAAGTACTAGAAATAAAAATGAATATGCATCAATATGGTAATTTTCTTTCTTCCTTTAATAAAGACACTAAGTAACTTGCCTGTAATTGTGAGTGGATCCTTTTAAAAATAAGTAGACAAAACTAGTCTACATTATTTAATGAAGATATGCAGCTATATATATAATATATATGTTGGTATTTTTGTTTATATATATATATATAACAAAATACCACCTGAATAAGTATATAATATAACAGAAAAAGTGCTTTATCCTAAAATGGCAGAGTATCATATTTTGCATAAAATCTGGCGTTCTTCTGACCAAAATTGCCAGTTTCATAATCACTATGAATGCTGTCATCAGGCAGCCAATAGTGTTCTTTTGGTGACATGAGCAATTATATCCTGAAAAGAGTAGTTAGTAAGTACATGTGATGTATTCACCAATTAAAGTCGACAAGGGTGAAAATACCCATATAGCAAATGATGGAATAACCAAATATCACCTTAACTTGGGAAAGGAAGAAGCTTCTTTCTTTCTTTTTTTTTTTTTTTTTTTAGTGTTAATAGTGCTCAAAAGCACAAACGAACCTTGGCAAAGTAGCATAATACAGAGAAAGTACTTGACATTATTGGGTCTAAAGTATCAGTAAAAATATGTCTATAAAGTGCATGAAATCTCCCCAAAAGAGTTATAAAATGATACACTGAAAAAGTGCTCTACAGCAGAGCATTACTTAGTGCATTATGAACTCACCAGCACCCCTTATTGTAATATCTTGTGTCAGTCAAATGAAATTAGAAGTGTCCATATCACTAAAGACCACTAGCAGCCATCTGTGAGACTGAGCATAGTATGTACAAAACTAAAAGTCATGGTCAAATACCTGATTTTATTATATAAAATTATATATATTGCTTTTTGCATATGAGACCTGTGTTAGAATTTCATTCACGATGGTTGATTTATCAGGATAGAGAGGTGATCCCAGCATGTGATACTGTTGGAAACTATCAGAAAACCATTCCACAGTTTAACGAGTCTTGTGAGCGAAATTTTTCGGAGACCATTGCTAGCTGAAATAGCACAAAGTTGCAAGATGTTGTGACCGAAGGTTTGAGCATAATGGCATTGTTTGTCACACCAAATAATACACTTTCCTAGAAACTAACAAAATCTATTCAGCATAGTTGAATAGGTAGGCTCTGCAGGTGTTGCACAAACACAAATATGCCTCAGCCAGTGGTGTATGCAACTGGGATTGGCTAGCTGTCTTAAGGAATCAATGGATTATGTTAACCAACATTACTTATTAATGTTACTACTCCAATTATGAAGTAATGGATAGTGGCTCAGATTGAGAAATCGGAGAGCTGAGTTCGAATTTCAGTTGAATCCATTACATTCTATTACGTGCTAATATCCTTGGTAAAGGTATGAATCCTCCTCTTCTTCTTCCCCCTGCCCCAAGCTATGGGTAAATAGCAGGACAGACTAGGTTCTATAGCCTCAGATGGCAACTGGTCTACTGCAGAAAGAAATCTGCCTCATCAGTCATGTATTGAAAGATACATGATTGCCTGTGTATCGCACATAACTGATTGACTCCAATCATTATTTTTTGGATACCCATGTCCCTCTTACAAAAGGAGTTGGGGCACAAGTTTGAACCCTGCCAGACTGCACATTCTCTTGATATGTAATTCACACTTTAAAATGACATTTGGAATAGTAGGAAACATGAGATATGGAAAAACTCATTCTCTGATAAAGCTTTAATAAAAGCAAAACAAAGTTATAAATGTTTCAAATTTGTGTTTTATCCCATCATTCTGTCAGATTCCAATTGGCGTTTTATCCCAATTCATATATCTCTCAGTCACTGGGTGTTTATCTAAAAATAAATACATTTAAAATTCACCTTCATCCCTGCCGTCGCCAACGGCTTAGTGGTAGAATCCCCGACTGACGCCAATTCAATCCTAACTAGAGGCAACCGGATGTCTAGCCACACTGATGAGCTGTGATACAGCGAAACAGTCTGTCTGTGGATGACTATATATATATATATATATATATATATAAAGGTTAATGGTCAAAGTTGAATCAGACCAGGGAACAGTAGTATTAAAAAGTGATCAATACACATGAGAAAAAATATAAGTCAAAATAAAAATAACATGTAGAGCTTTTAAGTTTGAAATTCAGGCAGTTAATTAAAATACACAACCACAGTTTCAACCTGACAGCTTCTCTGGGCGATACTTTTAAAATGACCACTTTAACGTTTTCTTTATTTTAAATATATATATATATATATATATATATATATATATATATATATATATATATATATATATATATATATATATATATATATATATATATATATATATATATAAAGCATGAGAGGGCACCTCGGTGTGGTGTAATGGTTAGCAAGCTTGTCTCGTTAGAACAATTACAAATGAGTAGTGAGTTCGATCCTCACTGGGTGCCTCTTTCGGCCCTTGTACCACATCCACGCTACACTTGGAAAATCACTATATGAAGCATGAGTCAAAAGTAACCAATCATCTGAGAAATACATTAGACTAAGATTAGTCTGGCAAATGGCTTAAAATATGGAATGTTTATCATTTTTTTCTTTCTATTGTCTTTTCCTTTCTACAAGGGGTGCTGAAAAAGTTCTTAGCCCAATAAAGATAGAATTAAAAAAAAACTGATCTTTAGTCAAATTTTGGGGAGTAGGTTGGATCAATAACTTTTTGGTATCTCCAATTTCCTTTGGTTTTCAGCCCGTTTTTTTTTTTTAATTTCTATTATCTTTCCTTACAATTTTCAGCCCATTTTCTTTCCTTTCAATTTTCAGCCCATTTATTCTTCCTATTCAGCTCATTTTATTTCACTTTCCAATATCTTTCCATTCTAATTTTTACCCACTCTTATATCTCTCTCTGACTTTCTTGACAATAGTTTGAAGAATCATTTGGTGTAATACTTAAGAAGGTAAGTCAGTCATATGCTAGCAGTTTGTACCACCATTTTCTCCATCAGTCTGATGTGTGTGTGTGTATATATATATGTATATATATATATATATATATATATATATATGTAAATTGCAGCAACAAGAGTTCAATCAAACAAGTTTTATTAAACTCAATCAACAAGGTTTGTAGCGTGATGTTTAATTATTTTATTGTATTTTTTCTAATTTTTGAATAACCTCTTGCATATCTGGATCAAAATTGTGAATAAACTCTCAAAAATTTATGTTGTTCTGTTTTGACTGTCCTGGTCATTATAAAAAACTAAATGTCACAGTCACAGAAAAATTTTGTAATTAATATCCTGGCATTTTATTTTATAATGATCATTTGATATTGTGTGTGTCATAAATGATATCATGTATTGAACCATCTCACTGAGATTCAGCAGAAATAAATACAATATGGCAGCCATGAATAAAGAAAGACAAATGACAGCAACTTGGATCAAGCAGGCAGAGTAGGTTTAAGGCTCCAAGTTCATTACAGCAAATTGTCCTAGTGGATTAAAGCATGTTGTAAATTTGGTGACATTATGATTGTGTGGTCAATCCCTGGGTCAGGCAGTATGTACTTGCCCTCAGTAGAAATGATCACACAATAACTAAGTAGTACTAAACCAAAAAAGAAAAAAACTAGATTCAGTTTAGTTCAGAATTGCCTGCAGCTAACCCAGATAAATATACCCCTAAGCAAGGTACAACATCCAAAATGGTGTGATAACAACTACAAAGGTGAATACAATAGTCTGAATATAAGTAGTGTAAATAATTTAATTGAGCTTGAGTTTACCAGGATACACATTTTAAAATATCTCTCTTATCAGATATGAATGTTTCATGAGAAATCTGTGTTTATAAGGCACTATTCAATTTTACTTGATCATTGAGACACTTTGTGGCCGAAACGGTCTGAAGCATATCAGATCTTAACAATGGTTTCTCCTACCAAGCAGGACACAGATCCAAATTCTGCCTGAGAGCCTATTTTACTTTAATATGATTTCTCTAATACTCAGGCCAGTAGGCGAGAATAAATACACTGTTCAATAAATAAATGGAGTATCTCCTCAAATATTCACTAAAAATAATGTTTGAAG